ATTTTGCTAGACAATTTAAGTAATACTGACTTGTTAAAAAGCATAAATCAAATGATAATTTATTATTTTATTACAATTTTGAGTTCATAATGGATAACTAAGTCTTTGCTACTTGATACTTTGTATTATTGCATAATTTTTCAAATTACAGGTGTAAAGTAATTTTATATCCAATATATAAAAACTTTACATCACTATATCTATTTAAATTCCAAGATTTAAATACATTCATTATTTTGTAATGATACATCTACAATCCATACAATGTTAAAATGACACAAGATGATTTTAACACTATAATTATAGGATAACGTGTTTTTATTGGGTTATCATGATTACAATAGGTTTTCATTCATTATTTACCTTTGATTGAACCTAGATTTGGACTATATGTCGTATATATATACATTTTTTCAATCACACAAGACGCCAATTTCTTGTTGGTTTACCTGTTATTCTAGCGATACAGATCTACTGTAGAAAGATCTCTTATTTGGTTGAATTTGGACCGGCAAACAGGTTATTTTAAGCGGCTACCAATACGTTTCTTCCATAGATATCAATTTTAATAAATGTTGACATTCATAAAAAAAAAAAAAATCTAGGCTGCGCTAATAAAGTCAAAACAATCGAAATTGTTCTCTGACGGTAATAAGAAATGATCTTTTAATAACATATCCCTACATAAACTCCAGAATTATTTGATTATGACATTTTCCTCAGATCCTATAAATGCGTTAATGAAGATGATTAACGAAAAAAAAAGGTCAAGCATTGTTGAAGCAAGCCACTTTTCTAGAACAAATTATATCATATCGATGGAAGATTCAATAAATATAAACCATGACATATCAGATCGTGTGATTTTCCTGAATTTGTAACCAAATTTAGTATATCTTGTGATGTATCAGAAATTAATTAATTCATGTGTAAGTTTTAATTCCCCGTTTTTTTTTTTTTAAAATTAAATTTATTTGTTTGTTTTTTTACAAGGGTTTTTCATTAAAAAAGATTTACAGGGCAGGGCGTTCATGTGTCAAATTTGAGATAAAATTGGGTAAATAAAAAAGTGAAATAAATAAAGTTAAATATTTTTTTTGATGGATACAAAAAAAGGAGGTTTTAAGGTTTAAGGTTGCAGAAATTCACACAAGTACAGAACGTGTTGTGACAAAAAAGTTAATTTTTTTCATTAATACTAATTTAAATCATTTAATTAAATTAATAATCATAAATAAAAAGATCATAATATCTAACGCAACAATCATAAATAATGAAGATAATGGGAAAAACCAAATCAATAAAATTGTTTTCCCTCGCACCGCATTAGATATCAATAGTCCTGGAAAAAAATTGACAGACTTGTTCTCCATATTCATACACCGCAGTAACATATAGATAATAGAAGGTCCCATTACCACTAACGCATGCTGTATTATTGTTATTTATGGAAGTGCATGAAAGTGCATGGAAGGGTAACGTAATCAAATAAAATTTGATTTTACCTTTTAGCTTCGCTCGCATCGGAGCTCTCCGAAGATATTGGAAACCATAACAAAAAAAAAAAAAAAAAAAAAAAAAAAAAGATTGTTGTGCGATATTATCCGCAGGAAAAAAAGAAGATCATAGTCAGGGTAATAACATATAATTATTACAAATAAATTTAAAAAAATGAGTTGAACTCCGTTATAAGCAAACACCCGTTGACAAATATCATTATTAATGATCCATTTAATTTAATTTCATTATTTTAAGTTAAATTAATTTTTTTGATCCTTTGATTTTCGCATATTATGCATTTAATTTCCCTTGCATGTTTAATTATATACAATTAAGGTATATTATAATAAAGTTTATTTTCCCTGTATGTTCAAAGCGAGGCAAAAATCTGTTTAACTCGTAAAAATATTCATTGAAAGCATGCCTTTATCGAATAATATTTTATCGTCATTTAATTTAAACTAAGTTTAGTAGTAAGTACTCACGCCGATTTTCAGCCAAATGACGATTCTTGATTATTTTTTTTATTTCTTACCTCTTTGAAAATCTGATTAATACAATAAAATTAAAATACTTTGAACTTTGAACCTAAAATATTTTCCTTTTCTGAATATATTGATATGCGATTAAGTAATTTCTTTAAATAAATTAATGATAAACTCATTGCAGCATTGTTTGGAATTTTTTTTTTTTTAAAAAAAAAACCCCCAAAACGTTGTATGTAAAAAGAACCATCCGTTTCAAAAGTAGCAAGTGATCGACCGTAGCGATAGTTTTCCTTGGTCCCATACATTTCATCCCATGATTAAAGATATCAACCATAGGAGCCTGATGGATTTGTCTTTAACCGAAACGAACGGTTAACTTTATTTTTTTTTAATATGTTTAGATCAAAACGTTAACGGATCATTATAACCACCCGTAGTAGATTTGGTCGTTATTGAGTTGTCTAATAAAGTACATGCAGAAGGCAAGATTTTTTTTCATGTCTATAGAAATGCATGTAAAGGTGATCTGTTACATTTAGGATTGTAACCATACCACGTGATCCGTAGCGAAGTGATGCTAATTGAATGTTCAACCCCAGCCATATAATTGAATTGAATGAGCCATTGTCATATATAATCGTCATGGGGCTTCGGCAATAAGCAAGTAATCGGGTGACACAACAGCAAGAGTGTCAGCCACATTTTCTGACTAAAAAATTTTTGAGCCATTATTTAAAATTAGAACCGAACTAAAATGGTAAGTGAGATAATGGTTTTATAAGTGACAATGGCGGTTTACTTTTCGGGTAAATTTCTGGAAGTTATTTATAACAAGTTTTTATCATCAGATTATTTGCATACAATGTAAGGATTTTTTCCACAACAATTTGTTTATGGTGACACATTTTCAGTGGCTAGTTTCAGATGAAAGTTCGGTTAAATGGGTTGTCGATCATCATTATCAACAGAATATCACAGAATGGAAACTTCTTTGTAGGTGGCGGTTGGATGATCTCTAACGAACCGCCACTCCTTTTTCGGTCACGTTATTATGAATATCCTTTAAAGTACTTATGCATGCATTGAGGCTGGTGTATACCCGCGCTAAACATTTCAAAATATTTTTTTTTTTATTTCTTTTTTTTTTTTTGTTCCTCCCTTTTTTTTCTTTATTCTGAATTGGGATCTGGAGTCGGCGTAATTCCGAATATTTTCTCGATGAAACAATAATAGTTTCTCACGTAATCGAAATCCATTCTACAAATAGCATCATGGTTTAAATCGTGTTACGCCATTCTTATCAATACCTTTTCAAATAAAGTATAATCATCATCTTTTTTATTCAATTCCGTCGATGAACTTAAATAAGTTTATATCAAGATGCAATCCTTTAATTAAATACATGCTTATTTCCAAAAGCTAAAAAAAGAAGAAATGTTACGATGAAAGTTTAGAAATGAGCGGCGGTGCGTCCCGCGTGGATAACATTTTTACTATGATCGTTATTATTTCTCATTCTAAAAACGAAACATAAGAGAGAGACCATCTAATCATACACACCCTACCCTCAACCATATTTTTAATTATTTCCTTTATCAGGTAAAATCGTACGATAGGTCGTTCCGGCATTTCCTTTATACAAAATAACAAAAGAGGAATAAAGTTAAAGAGCCGTTTTACAATCGAGAATTCGGTTATTTTGTTAATAAATTCACGTTTCACGCAAGTTTAATTCATCAAAATGATTTACACTGATAATGAACAAACAAAAATTTCAATGATTTTTTTTTTTTATATTCATTTTATTTTATTTTTTTTAATGATAATTAATGTAAATGTCGCTGAATACATTTCGGTCACGTAATGTTAATTGATTAAATCAATGGAATGTAAACAAGCAATTGTTTATTTTTAATTAGGTGCATTAATTGTGTGTTGAGGAAAGACAATAAAATTTACCAACAATTGACCCGTATCTTCTTTCAAAGCGCACTAATAAATTTGTGCGCAGTAAATAAAAAACAACTCATTCACACTATAATTCCTATTATTCCTATTCAATTCGCTTAATAATATGGAATGGTAAATCCGATTGTTGCTTTATATTAAAAATCATTTCCGCCCATCCGACTAGAAATCATATATATATTTTTTTTATTAAAATCAATTTTCTTGTCGTTTACTCGATAAACCCTGAAAAAAAAGACTCCTTAACAATGAACTTTTACATTTAAGGGAATCGCATGGTTCTCGTTAGAAGGTTCATATAGGATGTAACAATGAGATGGCGCCATCTCAAACACTCTAATTTCTCCTTTAATTAATTATTGGTGAGAAGTTTTTATCTTAATTTTTTTTAGGTTATAAGAAAAAACGGACTTCAATGGATAGATAATATATAAAATCATTTAGATTATCCAAAAGTAAAATTAATAATTTAATTATATTGTGCTACTTTGTAATCATGTAAAAGTGGCATAAAAAAAATTCAGCCCCTGTTCTATCTAACACGGCGATGGTAAGAAGATCTCGCCTTTTACGGTTTCAGTTATGTGTTCAACATAAAAAAAAAATTTAGAGTAATAAAATATAATAGTTAATAAATTAATTTTAAATATAAATACTCACCAATTCAGGCCCTGTGGCTAAAAATCATCAAATTCTATTCTTTGAATTTTTTAGAAAACTTTTAAGAAAAGCGTCCATTAAAAAAAAAATCGCCTTTTTCCCTTTTCACCTTTTCCTTCCAATCTACTACTACAACTTCAGTTTTTTTTCTTCCTGTATTAAGGCGATAAAAGTTTTTTTTCAACAAACTAAATATATCATTAAAAAAATATATTTTTTACTTTCCCTTCTTTACTTTAGATCCTTGTAAGTATTTTTTTAAATCATGCGAATTTAAGTGATTTCCTTTTAAAAGGAACAAGGCAATGGGTACTAATTAAAAATATTTATAATTTTTTTCCTTCATTCTAGTTCATTTTTATCCATCAAGTATTAAACAATAAAATGGACGTTGAAGCTCGTAACAAATATTGCGGATACATCATGTTCAACACCGCCTCCAGCAAAGGCACTGGATCAAAGTCAAATGATTTGATCAACTATGATGCCTCTTCATTTTCAAACTATGATTCGGACCTCTTCCCGCAGACTGGTCCAACTAACCACTCAATGGCCGCCGGTGCCGCCGCCGTTGAGGATCAAACCGTGAAAAAGGAAGAGAACCCTTTTCAAATTTACGATCCTTCCAATAATAATAATGGAGTCGAAAATGGCAAAAAACTACCGGGTAGTTCCAAGATGCAACCAGAAAAACGACCCCCAAGACCTCCAAACGCATTCATTCTTTATAGACGTGCTAAGCAACCTGCTATTCTCGCTGCTCATCGTAATCTTACCAATGCTGAGATTTCTAGATATATTTCAACCTGTTGGAAAAGCGAAACTGACGAAGAACGTTTATCTTGGGAAAGATATGCGGATCAAAAGAAACTTGAGCACATGCAGGCTTACCCAAACTATGTATATCGACCAAATAAGAATAAAGGAAAAAATGAAAAGCGCAGGCAAGCTCGAAAACAATCCGCTGCTGCTACCTTTAATTCTCAAGAGTCAACAATGAATTCAACATATGTTGACGAATCTGGACCAATCAGGGCAACAAAGAAAAACAAAGGTCAAAATCGGTTGAATAATCTTGTTGGAAGAATAGAAATTCCCATAGCCAATAAAGTTCCTACAACTGGAATCCAAAATATCAACTTTTCAATGATGACTCCCCCTCTTTCATCCCCAAATACTCCTAATAACAGTAGCAACTTAGTTTATACTTCCGCTCCCGTTCCTTTCTCTGAACCTGAGCAGCTTCAAAACACTTCGTTTTCAACTCAAGATATGCAACAAATGCAAATGTATTTCCGAATGCAACAACATCAACAACAAGAAGTATTATTTCAAAACAACCTTACAAATTTATCATTTCAATCGATTAATGAATTAACTCCCGGTTCATTCCGTGAGGAAACCGTTGATCCTTTGATCTTCGCTTTTCCAAATCACGATGATTTAATTTACTCTTCTCAGTCTTCATTTGATTCAATCTCTACCAATAATTCCGATTTAAATTTAAATAGTCAAAAGATCAACACATCTTGCGCTTTTCCTGAATTTCGAGACAATACTCAAGGTCTTGCCGACATTTTTGCGGGAATACAATCCTTTGAGTCAACTTTTGAATATTAATTATCAAATATAAACAAATCCTTAGTATAAAATCCTGGGATTTCCTTATCGTACAAAAATATTACTTTGAGAGTAACGAACATTTTTTTTATATACATATAAAATATTAGTTTTTATTTATTTTTTTTTATCCATTTTTTCTTTTTTTTTTGAAAAAAAAAACAAACGAGGGAAGGGTGGATATGGGTGTAAATAATGGGTTTGGTTGTATTTTATTTATTATTAATTTTGGGCTTTTTAAAATAATTTTTATAAATTTGGGCACGGGCTGCTTCTTAATTTTTTTTTTATAAAAAAAAAAAAAAAATTGTACTATAATTATATTTACACCTTTATCTCACCTTTCTCTCTATTTTATTTGCATTTTTTTTTTTTATCTTTTTTTTTATCTCATTACGCAATTCATTTTATGAAATATTTTAACTCACTAAATTCCATAAATCTCATCTCCTGTAATATATCATTTCCTTTATCTCTATTTTTTTTTTAAAAAAAATCTTGTATATCAGTTTCTTTCAATTTTTCAAATAAATAAAAAAAAAAAACTTTGAAAAAAAACGTCCAAATATTTTGTGCAACTATTTGATTGTATTTATCACGTCATAAAAAATGTCTTATTAGCAAATTTTGCCAAATTTGGTTGTGGCTGATAAAGTCAAAATTAAAATTAAAAAAAGAACGTAAATAAAAAAATTTATAACATTTATTGATTTTTTTTTAATGACAATCATGCATTGAGAAAACAGTTACGGTTTTTGACCTTGCAAATTAATACTTTAAACATTGTAAGCTTGTGAAATGAACCTTTATTAACAATTGTTTGAATTATACAGTGTTGATAGTCAACTTGTGTAAAGAAAGAAAGATATAACATGGGGTCCCGATGAAATTGCACCAAAAAAAAGTCATTATATATACTTCACATGACTCGAGAAAAAGTCACAAGAAAAAATCACATTATCAATATGACGCATAAACTTGGGGGCTTGTTCTCGAACTCTCCTCTAAATATAGAATGATATGGGCCTAACAAAAATGAAATAAGTGTTGCGCAAAATGTCATATCTTTGATTTACTCTTTGTAAAACAGAAATAATTTTTAGAAAAATAATTTTAAACAATTGTGGCTTTTTTAATACTATTTACAAAAAAAGAATTGGCGTAAATCAGTTACACAAATATAAATTTGGCTGAAAATAACAGAACGATGTATAAAAAAAAAAAAAAATAATTAATTAATATCAATCTGGTGATTATTTGTTTCACAACTCACATTTCTCAACCAATTAAAAAAAATTATACCTATTCATGCACTGAATGCAAGGAGCTTGCTCCTAAATCTTTTTAAAAAAGGGATATTGGCTTCAAGGTAATGTTACACGTGTAATGTCAATAAGAGAAGGTTTATTGAGACAACGCATTTTATAAAGGCTCGATTATTATAATATCTACAAGAATTTTCAATCGCTACCGTCATTATGCAATATTTAGCAGCATCATTGATGCTTTTAATTATCCTGATTTCATAAAGTTACCCAAAGAATGGATGGAAAAGTTTCGATCAAAACCTTTGTAATGAAAACCCAATCGGCTTTCCAATGGCTTCCCAAAATCAAAAACCCAAAGTACATTACACATAAGCGGGAGATGGGGAAATAGGATCGGGTGTCCATCTTGAATCACCCGAATTATCCGAATCATCCGAATAGTTACAAAATTTCCCCATATATAAATAAATGATTTTTTCAAGCTATGAAATTAAATATAACTCTTCATAAGTGTTTATTAAAAGTAGCATTTGGTTTGACTTGTAATCCCCTAAAGCATTTTATAAACCATTATTAAGCACGATTCAATTGTTTCATATGATGGCTCAAATGATTCGGGAATGTTTCAGATGATGATTCAGATGATTGTTTCAGATGATTCGGCTGATTCGGATGATATGAGTTTGATTCAAATCAATGCCTTTGAAGGTGTTCTTTCTTATCCATATCTTTCTTTTTGATTTAAAATTTGCTTTGTTCATTTTTTTAAAGTGCTCTCAAATAAAAAGATTGGATTATGATGATTGTATTTGATAACTTAGTTAATATAAGGTTGGATATCGATTTTTATGATCAACTGATAAAGAAATGTTAATTCCTTTATCGCCAAGATCTTTGCATTTATGGTTTGTAAACGTTATTAAAAATACAAAGTTGATCTGTATAAATTTGGTCAAATTGGTTTTTTTTTCCTTCAATGCATACATAGAATGCATAATTGTATTTGCCTAAATATTTGGTGAAACGGTAATTGCATATTTTTAAATGATAATTTAAAGAAAAATCGTTTCTTTAAAAAAATAATGAATAAAATCATTTAGGTTAATCGTAAAATATTTAATATTTGTTGATCATACTTTCCTAAAAACCGTCTTATGAAAAATTATGGAGTTGTGTCTTATGAAGGGGCTTTCTATGATATATTTGCAATCTTTCGATTCACCTGAATGATCTCTTTTCTCGTTTACTAAACAAGAGATTAATTATTTAATTTATGACGGTTTTGAAGTTTCCAATCGGAATTTTACAAAACGAGCATTACCTTAGATTTTGTGCGCGTTTAGGTATGTAACAAACAGAAATTCTCTTGATAAATTAAATTTGTTAATATGATTTTTTTTTTCCGATGAATCAGTGCTAAACCAACCCCGTCATATTCTGAAGATATTAAAAATCAAAGATGACGGCATATCAATTCAATCAATCAAGGTTCAATAACACAAGTCAAAGGTCAAAAACACCAAATTATTTTATTTTAAATACTAGTAGGGATGGAAGAAACGTTCTGACCTTGAAGTGCTTTGGCACGTAATGCTAAATATTCATTAAAAGCATAATGTAGCAGGAATTTATCGATTGAAATTTAAAAGGATTTTAACCGACTCTTATTTCCGGATTCAAAGATCCCACAGTAAAACTAAAAGTGTTCACAAATCGAAGTAAAAAGATCTCGAAACAGTTTTAGTGACTTTAGTGACATATTTTTCATTCCATTTTCTAATGCAATTGATCATTCTTTCAAAAGGCAGCGATTTTTGGAATTTAGGATAAATCAACATTAGTAACGAAAAGATGAAATGAACAAATATTAATATAGTAAATAAGTTATATTCATTTTCATCCATAACGAGGACATATTTTAGATAGATATATATATATTTTTTGAAACTGATTAGACTTACTGGAGAACATTTCATTTTATATATTATAATAAAAATATTTCTTTCTTTACAAAAAGTGAATACATTTGAAATTATATATTACGTTTTACGAATTCGACATTTCGAATTCTTGTACGTTTTCTACTTCCCTATTGGCACGGATTGGAACGAACGGATAAGTTGATTTAGAAGAATTCAGAGTAAACGTCAGAGATACTTTCATTGCCTTAGATTTCTACATACTAGAATTTTCTGATAATGAAAATATTCCTACCAAAGTTTTCCTTTTTTCATTTGATCTCGAGTAACTATCAACAGCAGACGTTTCGACTCGAAGTTGACGACGATGGTAATTATTTTTATTGCTATTTAATAATTCATCAAACCAGGAAGTTGATCGATAATGAATGTGTAAAACAGCGATCGGATCATATGATTTCAACTTTGAACTTCCATTCCAAAATAGGTAATTAAAATTTTTTGATGAAGTATTTAAATTTTTAACGGTAGGAAATTTTACCCTTTCGATTTCGTAAAAATAAACGGAAATCGCACCAAGTCCACCTAATTGATTTGCCGAATTGGGAATATTAGATGTCAAGGTTGATGAAGGCCATAAATTGGACGGGAATTTGAATGGTTCATGAATCTTTTTTCGCCAAAATCCGTTAACGACCTGAAATGACCTATCATACATTTCGATACAGGTTTCATCGATTTCACCGTCCATAACTACGTCTCCGCGTATTTGACGATCTTTAGTAACCTTTAACGATCGAAAACGTACTTTAAATTCGGATTCAGGAACTTTTACTTCTACGACATAATGCATTTCACTGAGATAAGGAGAAATATTTTTTGAATTTAAACAATTTAAACGATTGCGATCTTTACATAAATAAGTAGTTTAATTATTAAGATTTTTTGCGTACCAGAAGACCTTTTGTTTGGTTATGTTATCAACGTAGAAACTTGGTTCGAAATTAATGTGCTGCTATATTAAAAATTATATATATATAATTTTTTTGAATTTGAATTTGAATTTCTAGAAGCGAATAACATATTATTTCTTACGTCAGACTCGACTTTGATAGGTCTTTCTGGTAAAGGTACATCATTGACCAAAATTTCGAGAACGTAACCGCAAAATCTCATATTTGTAAGTAAAAAAAGATGAATTCGCACAAGAGAGCTGTAGGTTAGATTAGAATTTCAATTAAAAAAGGGGGGATATATATTTTAATAGAAGTAAGTCTGGGAAATCCTTTAACTGTTTGAAAGAGAGCTGTTAATAAGAATTTCGGCTTGCTTATTCACATCCTGAATAATTCCTGTTTATTTATTTTAAAAATTGGTATTGAAACGTGAAACGTAATTAAGGCGCAAGATAACTTTGATCCTTTTAAAAATATCATCCTCCTTAAAACAATGATCAAAAAAAATAAATAAATAAATACAAACAAACGCCTCTTGAAATTAATTGAAATCGAGAACCTGAATTTTGTTAATAAAAAAAAAAAATATGTATTATTTAATGTTATTTATGTTTTGTTTGTAATATTCTCCGTAAACGCATGTTTATTTTTATTCATTAATTATTCTTTAAACTTTAAGTAAATTACGTTCCATAAGTAAAAAAATCACCAAGTATTATGCTGATCAATCTGATGGCTCATTCTGATTAATATGAAATCCTGGATTATAAACTAAAATTAGAATACATCCAGTATTATTTTTCTGATAAGTTTAAATATTCCTAAATGGCAGTGGAGCTTCATGGGATGGATATTTA